TGTTATGAAATAATATACTGATACCAATACTGAAGTTCGAGCGGACTTTGGAAATAATGATTTCAGCAGGTCCTAAGAATGGGTAAAGCACGTTAAGCAGGTGCCCTTCAGTTCCAAAGAGCCTCTTCAGTCACACACTAAGTTTGAACAGAGCGCTTAACCTTTTCAAGTCTTAGTTTCTCAGCTGGAAGATGAAGTCAACATAAGTATCTAACCTCACAGGATTACTATGAAAATTAAGTGAGATAATGAAAAGCTATAGTAATCAAGACAGAATGGCATTTGTTTGGACAGAAAATACAGAGAATAAGAAGGTACTTGACTTGTGTGTAGGAGACCTGTTCAAAATCCAACACAGCATATCATCCTGGAAACCACCAGAAAGAGTGATTCCTAGTACAAAGGGGGAAGGATGTGGCTTAGAGGCAGAAGGTCTGCCTTGAACATGGGAGAACTTGGGTTCTACCCACACTTAATCACTTAACTTCCCATTAGTCATCGATTTGCTCGAGCGGGCGCCAGTAACGTCTCCATTTGTCCCTGTCACGTGCTAGTGTAGCCCAATGGCATCTGTTCGCTCCGGGAACATGAAGGGCCTCAAACCGATCATTCATGATCTTGACGAAGAAGTCTGACCATCTGGTAGGTGGGCGGCCATGCGGTTTTTTGACATCCCGCGGAATCCAGTCAGTAACAGCTCTAGTCCAGCAGTCGTCTTTAAATCTCATTACGTGACCAGCTCATCTGATTTTCGACACCTTGGCAAATGAGACAGCATCCCTGATTCTTGATCGTCGACGGATGTCAGAACTCCGGATTCTTTCTCTCATTTGAATGAAACGTGATATTCCAAGCATAGCTCTATTCTTCTTTGAGAGACCTGAATAGCATTCTCATCTTGTTTGTGTAGGGCCCAGGTCTCTGAGACATATGTTAATGCAGGAAGAACAGTGGAATCAAAGAGATGTGCCCGGAGCCGGAGGTTCTTCGTCCTCTTAGCTATTTCTTCGACGTTCTTGAAGGCGTTCCAAGCCACTCTCTTCCTCCTGCGCAGCTCGGGTGCCAAATCATTTGTCATGTTGACCTCTCGACCTAGGTACACATAGCTGTTGCATTCGGAGGTGGTAGTTCCATTGAGAGCTGTTTCTCATAAACATCGTCTTTGTAAGATTCAGCTGTCGTCCTACCTTTCCACACTCATGGTCAAAGTCGGCCAGCATTTGTGCCGCTTGGCTGATGTTTGGTGTTATTAAAACAATGTCATCAGCAAAGCGGAGGTGGTGTAGTTGCCGACCATCTATCTTCACTCCCATTCCTTCCCATTCCAGTCGTCGCATGATGTTATCGAGGGTGGCACTGAAGAGTTTTGGTGAAATGGTATCACCCTGCCTCACCCCTCTCTTGACATCAACGATCACTTCTTTGTAGAATGGTGAGATCCTGGTAGTGAATCCGCAATACAGCTCACGGAGGATCCTGATGTATTGGGCTTGAATGCCCTGATTGGCTAGGGCTTCAATGACCGCTTCCGTCTCAACAGAATCAAAGGCCTTCTTTAAATCAATGAACGTTAAACAGAGCAGCATCTTGAACTCCCGAGAAACCTCAATGAGCTTGGTTATCGTGTGGATATGGTCGATGGTGCTGAATCCTTTGAGGAACCTGGCTTGCTCGCATGGTTGTCCTTCATCTAGTGTTCTGCTAATCCTATTCAGGATGACTCGAGTGAACAGCTTGTAGATGACAGACAATAGGCAGATCGGGCGATAGTTGCCAATGTCATGGACGTCTCCCTTCTTGAACAGTAGTACGGTCCTGCTGATTTTCCATTGGGACGGAATCTTGCATTCAGACAGGTAGCGAGTGAAGAGCCGAGCCAGTATATTGATGAGTACTGACGGCAGGTTCTTCAGGTGTTCAGGTCTGACCTTGTCTGGGCCGGGTGCTGTTTGTTTCTTTACCGACGAAATGGCGTGTCGGATTTCGGAAGGGAGAACGTTGGGAATGACATATCCATCCTGTGGAATTTGGTATGTCGGCAAGTGGACATGGCTATCAAAGAGATTTGAGTAGAAGTCATGGATAATCTTCTTCATTGCCGTTCTGGAGGATGTGATAGATCCATCAGGACGTCGGAGGGCAGTCATCTTGGTCTTGTCGTTGGCGAAGGACAGGCAGGCGTTACGAATACTTTTCCCGGCTTCTGCCGCATCTACCAGTACTTCTGCTCTTCTCTCTTTGAGGTCTTCCTTGATCGCATCCCTGCACTGCTTTGCGAGCTCGGACGTTAGCTTGCGGTTGCCTGAGGCATGTGCCAAACCATGCTGGTGAATTAGCTCAATTTTCTACCCACAACACTTTAAAAATAACAACAACAACGACAACAACAACAACAACAAAAAACAACCAAATTAAGAAATCAAGCATATGCAAACAAAATGGTGCTTGGAAAACTAGAGAATCATGTGCAAAAAAATAAAAAGGGAGCCCTATCTCACAGATTCATTAAAAAAAAAATCAACTGAAAATGGATTACTTGAATATAGGATCCAGAACTAAATAAATCACAGCTTAATTTTGAATTGCGGCAAATAATGTTTGGATTTGAAACCAGAAGCAAAGGCAATAAAAACATACCCGAACAAAGGGATTACATCTAACAAGAAAAGCTGCACATAAAAGGAAGTCAGCAAAATGAAATTAAGAATAGGATAATGCAATCTACCAATCAGAAGACAACTGCAAGTTCCATGTCTGGTCACGGTCACGGTCCTCCTGTTGTTCATCGATTTGCTCCAGCGGGCCCAGTAACGTCTCCATTGGAGACTTTGTTGTTACTGTGTTTGGCCTATTGAATAGGTCCCGGGTAGCTTGCCAGGCTCTGCCGTGCGGGTGAGATACTGTCGGTAGCTTGCCGGGCTCTCCGAGTGGGGCGGAGGAATCGAACTCCGGTCGGCCATGTTGGCTGTGTGCAAGGCAAAAGCCCTACCGCTGTGCTATCACTCTGGCCTAGTTCCATGTCTAGGGATGGAGAAATGTACAGGAGGTAAGGCACATGGTTTATTAAGAACTGCAAAGGTAAGATTTCCTAAGGGCAGCAGATACCCGTTTAATCCCTAATACAGCAATACAGTCCACTAAGCACCACTGGGGGTCATTCCTGAGCACAGACCTAGGAGGAGCACCCAAGGATGTGGTACCTCCTCCAAATTTGTTTTTAGTTGTATATTTAATAGCGGCTAACACACATTCTTATGCAAGAAAAATAAAACAAGTGACACAATTACAATTAAATGGGCCGGGGGGCTGAGTACCCCTTTACCTTACAGTTGGAGGTGCACTGGTCTTGCAGGCAAAACCGGGTTTTATCCCTGGGCATCCCAGGTGATCCCCAAAGCAATACCAGAGGTGGTCAAACTTGAACACAGAGAGAGCCACAAGATCCCTGAGTAACATCCAATGCTCCCATCCAAAAATGATAAACAAAACAAAATACTTGGTCAGTGGATATTCTTCCCAAAAAGATGCACAGGGCCAGGGTTTAAGAGACGGGCAGCACTGAATCTTCAGGCACTAGTACTGACAAGAGTGCAGATCCCAGGACACCGGCACCATCTGAAAGGTACAGAGCGGAAGGCATACAGATTGCCCACAGGCTATGGAAAAGGTCATCAACAGCACAATCACCCAGAGATGCTAACACCAACAGTAAGGACAGTAACTGAACCATAGCAACGCGGTACACACCCACCAGGAAATACTACTCCACGGTGAAAAAGAATGGGCTCGTGCTGACTCGCCCAGTGAGAGCCTTGCCAATGAGAGCCTTGCCAATGCAACGGGGTGAGGCTGATCTCCTTCCTTCCAGGTGAGACCTCAGAAAAACCCGGTTAACTGAAGGATGAAACAAGAAGCACACTGGCCGAATGGGGCCCAAGATACCAAGGCACCGGAGAGCTTGGAGATAAGAATTGATGAAAGATGTTTACTATGGGACTGGAGCAATAGCACAGCGGGTAGGGCATTTGCCTTGCATGCGGCCGACCCGGGTTCGACTCCCAGCATCCCATATTGGTCCCCTGAGCTACCGCCAGGAGTAATCCCTGCGTGCGTGAGCCAAGAGCAACACCCCTGTGCATCGCCGGGTGTGACCCCAAAAATGCAAAAACAAAACATTTACTATGTTCAAAATTCCGGGAGCACAGCCTTGCACCTGGCTGACCCAGATCACTCAGTTCCCCAACACCCCACGTGATCCCTGAGCACAGAGCTCCGGACTCAGTCCAGAGCACCCCTCCCTCCCCACACCCCAACTACCAGCAAACCAAGATTCCCGCCAATCTGAGCCAGACTCGCGGGCTGGAAAAGCCAATGAGACGGGGGCGCTGACAGCTCCAGACTGTCCCCGAGAGGGTGGAGAGCGGCGGGACGGGCACGACTTGCCCAGACAAGAAACCGGGGACGCCGGTCCGCCACGGCGCCTTCCCTCCCCAACCCTCCCCGCGCTCGGCGACCGAGCACCGGGACAGGAGCAACCGCGACCCCTCGCCAGCCCGGGGAGGGAGAGGGGCAACAAGTTCTGCCCCGCAGCCCCCTCCCACCTCCACCCCCATCCCCCGTCTCCCTGCTCCTCCCATCGCACCCGCGCCAAAAGGGTCCGCAAGACTGAGGGCTCCACCCACGTCTACACTCACTAGTCGCCCCCCAAACCCACCATCGGGGCTGCGCGATCCCCTAGTCCAAGGGAGGCTGATTGCGATACTCCGCCCCCCTTGAAAAAAAATTTAAAAAAAAAAACAACTTTTCTTCTCCCAGAACGCCCCAGCCCGGGAGATAAAACGGTCGGCGGGACGCGGGTGTGTCTCGCCTCTCTCCGACCCGGGCCCGGGCCCTCCCACCTCCCCACACTGAGGTAAAAGCTGCTCGGGAACGCGGTCCGCTCCCCTCAACTCCTCCCCCGCCCCCGCCGCCGCCGCCGCCGCCCGTCAGCTCCACCTCACCTGAGAGCGTTCCGCCCGCTGGAAGCACTTAGGAAAACCTCAGGAACGGCGATCCCGAAAGCGACGCCACCGAAGACGAGGGCATGATCTAAGGCTCGCTCGGGTCACCCACTCCCCAAAGATGCGCTCCCCCCTCCCCACAGCCCGCCGCACCGCCTCGCGTTGCGCCGTGCAGGGCCGCCCGCCCGGGGGAAATCACTGCCTGCAGCCCGGCGAGGGTCGCAAGCTCGCGCACAGCACGCCGGGAACGGCCGCGCTCCCGTGCGCCCAGGCTCGGGTTCCCACGCCGCAGAAGCCTCCGGGCAGAGGTGCATGCTGGGAGTTGAAGTCCTCCTCTCGCGCCCTCCCGCGGGGCCGTGAACGTAAAGCATCTCCGCTCCGGTCGTAAATTGTAGGCGGCGGTCTTCCCTCTTCTCTCCCCGCCCCGCCCGCATCCGGGAACTCGGCCCGACGTTTCCCGGGGCGGGGAATGGTGTCGCCTAGCAGCCGGTCGCCGCTCTTACGGCTTAGGCTGCTTCGTGACCGGCTGGCTTGGCGGCATCCAGCATCCCGACGGTGACCCCACGCTGGCAAACTGGACAGGCGTGGTGGCGACAGAGCCGGCTCGGTGGGTGCGGTGGAGCGAGCGAGGAGATCCCGCCGGGCTCGATCTAGATGGGTGGTTCCTGCAGAGCCGGCGCCGCCAGTCCCTTCCCACGGCGAATCTGATTGTTTTTCAGCCTCAGGCCGCTAAAGCTGTAGCCCCCGTTTCCCGGCTCCCTGCTGGCCGTTCTCGGTCCATCTGCCTTCTCCAATTCAGGGCCGCTCTGAGTAGTCAAACTGCACCTACTTAAGTCGCTCGTTTCCGCTCCCTGAGCCCCCCCCCCCCCCACCAGTTTCTGATCCCCTCGGCTAGCAGCCTTCCAAGCACCCCCACGCCTGGCCCCTCTCGGATACCCTATCCGTGCGCTTTGGTGGTAAGGGGGTCTGGAGGAGGGAGTCAGTCTAGTTGGGATGCACTCGAGTGATCTGTCTTACTTAGATCAGGGATCTCTTCTAGATCACTTAGCCTCGCCAGTTATCTGCGGGTGTTTGCCAACTGCAGTAGTTTTAACCCAAGGCTATTTTGCATTATATATTGATCCACCTATGGGACCATAACTCTGTGCACGCTTTAGTTGCTGATCGCGGCCTCACCTGTTAAACACTGCACATTACTGTAAAAAAAAAAAACTGCAGTGCTGTTTTATTTTGAAAGCGCTATAATCCCCACTCGTTTTGTTACAGAAAGTAAAAGACAGCGAGAGGAGTCAAGATGCCACCTAATATAAACTGGAAAGAAATCATGAAAGTTGACCCAGATGACCTGCCGAGACAAGAAGAATTGGCCGATAATTTATTGGTTTCGTTATCCAAGGTGCTTAAATTGATAACTATACATACACACAACTACTATTTGTCTCTCAGATTATGGATATTTTTGAACTGGGAGAGTTCTTAGATTTTGAGAGTTATGAAAGTTAAAAAGTTGCTTTTTCTGTTTATTTAGGTGGAAGCAAATGAACTAAAAAATGAAAGTCAAGAAAATGTGATTCACCTTTTCAGAGTGACTCAGTCACTAATGAAGGTTTGTATTCAAGAGATTTTAATAGTAATAGCTTTGACTAGGAGAAGTTTAAAAATTCTTTATGTCTATGAAAGTACTTTGCATTTATTTCTCAGCCTTCCAAAACCAGAATTCTCAAATGTGAATTGACAGTTTTAATGTGCAACACATTGCCAGTTTTGTTCTAAAGTTCCTGAAAAAAAAATTTTATGTTAATTGTTAAAATAATCCTAGAATTATCTGAAAACAGCAGATTATTATAAGGTTTACAAGGAAAAGGGATTTAGATGTGAGAAGACCTAGTAACATGGCAAAGATGGAAGAGTCATTTTAAGTAAGTGGAAGTCCTGGTAAAATATTAAGATTAGAAATAAAAAAATGTGCCTATTATTAAATTTGAGATCAGTGCAGTGAGTTTATGGCACATTGTAGAGGAAGCTCTGTGTTCAGGGACCATATTTGGTGTCATGGGTCACAACTGGGGTCACCTGCATGCAAGGTAGGTGCTGCATCCCCTATACTATCTCACCTGAGTAAAAAGGTTTTAGTCACAATTGATACAAAAAAATGTGCATTTGGGCTGGAGCGATAGCACAGCGGTTGGGCGTTTGCCTTGCACGCAGCCAACATGGTTGACCCGAGTTCGATTCCTCCGCCCCTCTCGGAGAGCCCAGCAAGCTACCCAGAGTATCTCGCCTGCACGGCAGAGCCTGGCAAGGTCCCCGTGATGTATTCGATATGCTAAACACAGTAACAACAAAAGTCTCCAATGGAGACATCACTGGGCCCGCTCGAGCAAATCGATGATCAACCGGAGGGCCTTTACTTTACTTACTTTATGCATTTGGGGTCAGAATGATAGTAAACTGCAGACAGGGTGCTTGCTTGTGTGGAGGAGGCAGATCTGCTTTTGACCCTAAAATCCCATATGGTCCCCCAGGGACCCTCTTAGGAGTGATCATGAACACAGAATCAGGAGGAAGCCTTGAGTACCCGCCGTGCTTTACTACCCCGCCGTGCCCTCCCCCCGTGTGCCCCCCTCCAAGGAAAAAAAAAACACAAAAATATGACTTAGGAGAGTTAAGTTAGTTGTGTTAATAGGAGAAACTGAAGGGAATTGAAGATGTTTAAATATAGTACAAAGGAAGCGAGACATAAACGCATGCACTGAGAGAGTTGGATTATAAAGAATAGTGGAAAACATTAGAAAGGGAACAGTTGCATACTTGTTGGATATACAAGATGTGAGAGAAGAGAGATTCAGACTTAATATCTCCACATATCAGCTGTAGCAGGAAGTAAGGCGATAACAAAAGTCCTTCTTTTCTGTGCACATTCAAGTGTAAAGGCATATTGATTTTTTTTTTTAACTATTTAGATGAAAGCTCAAGAAGTAGAACTAGCTTTGGAAGAAGTTGAAAAAGCCGGTGAAGAACAAGCAAAATTTGGTAATTATCTGCAAAATATATGTTTATAAAGGTGTTAAGTGGTGGATTTATTTATTGAGTAATAGAAAACCCATTTTAATCTATGCATAAGTATATCATTTTATTGTAAAAAGTGAGGTCAATCATAAAATAATTGTTTTCTTATTATAATCCTGATGGAATCTTTTTTTATTGACCACCTTGAGATATGGGCTGGAGCGATAGCACAGCGGGTAGGGCGTTCACCTTACAAGCGGCCAACATGGCTGACCCGAGTTCGATTCCTCCGCCCCTCTCGGAGAGCCCGGCAAGCTACCGAGAGTATTGGATATGCCAGACACAGTAACAACAAAGTCTCCAATGGAGACGTTACTGGGCCCGCTCGAGCAAAGATCAACGGGAGGGCCTTTACTTACTTACTTACTTTACCTTGAGATATACAATTACACAGTTGCAAACTTTTTCATGATTTAGTTTCACTCACACAATGTTCCAACTCCCATCCCAACCAGTATATGTTTCCAACCACCAATGTCTCTCCTTTCCCTCCCCCATAGCCTGCCTCTTTTATTTTCTCTCTCTTTTTCTCTCACTTTTTCTCTTTTCTCCCCATTTTTTGCTTCTAGGCACTTGGTTACAATACTGTTATTGGTTGTTCTTGTCATTTTGATATGTGCCAGTCTCTGTGGTGTGAGATGGTATCTCATTGTTGTTTTGATTTGCATTTCCCTGGTAATTAGTGATGTGTATTGGGTAGAGCATTTTTTCATGTGCCTTTTGGATGTTGTATGAGAAGTTCCTTTGAGGAACTTTCTGTTCATCTCCCCATTTTTTGGTGGGATTGAATGTTTTTTCTTGTGAAGTTTCACCAGTGCCTTATATATTTCTGATATTAACCTCTTATCATATGTGTACTGGGTAGATAATTTCTCCCATTCCATGGGCTGTCTTTGCCTACTGGTAATTGTCTCCTTTGAGGTATAGAAGCTTCTTAGTTTAATATAGTCTCATTTGTTTATCTTTGTTTCCACTTGATCGGTGGTGTTTCGTCCTTGAAGATGGCTTTAACTTCAGTGTCAGGGAGAGTTCTGCCTACATTTTTCCCTAGATACCTCATCGATTCAGGTCTCATATCAAGGTTTTAATCCATTTATATTTGGCTTTTTACATGGCGTTAGAAAAATGACATTTTAATTTTTATTTGCATGTAGCTGATCACTTTTCCTGACACCACTTGTTGAAGAGGTTTTCCTTGTTCCACATCACATTTTTTGCTCCCTTATTGAAGATTAACTGATCATATAACTGAAGGTCTGTGCAAAGATACACAACTCTCATTCCTCTGATCTGAGGGTCTGTCTTTATTCCAGTATTATACTGTTTTAAATACTACCACTTTGTAGTAAAGTTTGATACTTGAGAAAGTGATGCCTCCCATCTTCTTTACCCCGAGGACCGATTTAGCTATTGGGCTGAGTTATGGGATATTGTTCCATATGAAAGTCAGGAGTACTTGATATATTTCTTTAAAAAATGGTGTTGGTATCCTTATAAGGACTGCATTGAATTTATACAGTGCCTTGGGAAATACTGCATTTTAATGATGTTAATTCTCCCAATCCATGAGCAGGTGATGGGTTTCAATTTTCTTGTGTCCTCTTTTATTTCTTGAAGTAGTGTTTTGTAGTTTTCTTTGTAAAGGTCTTTTACCTCTTAATTAAGCTGATTCTGAGGTACTTGATTTTCTGAGAAACAGTTGTGAATGGGACTTTTTAAATTATCTTTTCTTTCATTTTTTGTGTAAGGAAAGCCATAGACTTTTGCATATTAATTTTGTAGCTTGCCACTTTGCTACAGATTTGAAACAAATAGATTTGAAACAAATCTATTGTTTCTAGAAGATTTGTTTGTAGAGTCATTAGGATTTCCTAAATATAGTACCATGTCATCTGCAAATAGTGAGAGCTTGGCTTCTTCCTTTCCTAAGTGGATATCCTTCATATCTTTTTCTTGCCTAATTGCTATATCCAGTAGAAGTGGTGAGACATTTGTTTTGTGCCTGATCATAGAGAGAAGGCAT